TGTCATGCCAGTAAGGTTGTTCAAAAATGTTCGACCCGATTGAGTTGACTCGTTGACCCGCTGACCCAATTTAAAAAATATCAATTTTTTATAATAAAAATACACGATTTTTTAGGTTAGGTACCCATCAGGTTTCTGGGTTAAGTATGAGTCACAAAATGTTGGTTAACTGGATACCCTTCAACTCGATACCCGATTTATTATATATTTTTATTTTTCATTTTCATTTTATATTAAATATTTATTAATAATCCTCAAATTATTTCTAACATTCTAAAATCCTAATTTCTTAAATTTTGACACCATAATTAGGAGTGTTCAAATTCGGGTACCCGAGTCTTCGAGTATTAGATTTGTTGACTTGTGTCCCGAATCGGATGGTGTGGTTACTCAGTAACCAGGTGCCCTGATTTTGCGGGTACCCAGTTTTTAATTTTTTTAATTATTATTTTTTTAAAATAAAACATATATTATTAAAAAAATATTATATTAATTATTAAACATACAATTATTGGGTGGTTGGGTTTTTTAAATTTTATTAATTTAATTTACTATATAAAATTATTAATAATTAAATATTAATATTATAATATATGAAAAATAATTATAACCGGATATTCGGGTAATCGGGTACCTGAAAAAAATGAAATTTTATGACCCGAGTCTTACCCAAAAAATGTTGGGTCGGGTACCCGGCCCAGCGGGTATTTTTTTAAAGAAAAATACATGTTTTTTAATTTGGGTCGAGTCAACCGTGTTGGGTATTTTTGAACACCCTTAACCATAATGTTCTAAATTCTTAATTTCTTAAATTATTTCACATGTTGTAAATTATTTTTTTAAAATATTTATTTTAACTTCAAAATATTATATTTCTTTATTTTAAATTTTAATAATTTTTATTTCAGTTATGTAATTTGAATTTTTGAACTTTATGGGTGGATTATATATATTTATATACTTTTAAATTTTAGAATTTTTTATATATTTTTTAAAAATAATATAATTTAAAGAAAAAAATTAAAAAATTATGAATCAGATACCCGTGACTCGAATTATATATATATATATATATTAACTTAAAAATATTTTTATATTAACTTATTAAATATATTTTACTATTAACTTAGTATTTTTTATTTTCATTTTAAAATATATAATTTATTTTAATTTATTAAAAGTATGACTAAATTGAGAGAATACGTAAATAACATGGACCAAATGTGTGAATATATTAAAATATTTAACTGTTGTTAATGGATGTTAGCTCGGGGTGACCAAATATTGTTTAAATAAAAATGTAAGTGACAATATCTTATGTATTTTAAAATACGTGACCAAACGTAGATAAAACTCAAAGATAAGTGGTCAACCGTGTAGTTAACCCTAATACTTATTTTAAAATTAATTATGGGAATTGTACTTAGAATGAAATTATTTAGAAAAATAATATTTTTAATCATGTATACTAAAAATTTATTTAATTAACTGAGTCTTGATAAATACATTTAAGTGATTTTAATCTATATGATTGAAAGAAAAAAAGACCAAAGACATATGATAAGGGGGCGTTTGGTTCAAGGTATCTTGGATTATCGGGGGGAATGAAATGTGATTCCCCCGTTAGGATTGCATACATTCTCAACTCCCGGTAATAAGTTATTCCCAACAGTGGTATTTTGGGGGCTTATTACCGGGAATATGATTCCATATTCCTTTAGGTATTGTTACATTCCTGGCGCTTTGGACTAAAATGCCCTTAACTTTATTTTTTCAAAAATATTCTTCTGTCGGTGAATAAAAAAAATTCTACGAATGTTAAATTGTAATAACCTTCAACTATTTTAGATTTACAAAAAAAAATCATAATTAAAATTTTATATGAATTTTAGGGGTTAAAATAAAATTTTACCATTTCATTAAACCTATTTATCTTTTTAATTTTGTAAAAAAAAATTATATAAATTTTATGAATTGAATTTTTTTTAAAGAAAATATATAAATTAATTATAGTAAAATTATAGTAGAAATCAACTTGTTAAAAAACAAATATTTAATAAGGACAATTTAATAAAATATACATTCCAATAATCTTTTATTCCTTTAACCATATATTGTAATCTTACATTCCTGCTAAACGAACCAAACACAACAATGCAACATTCCCTGTAATCGTATTCCCGTCGGTAATCTTACATTTCGTGAACCAAACACACCTTAAAAGTGTCTTCCAACGAAATTGTCCCTAAAATCAAAAAATTACTTACAAACCTATTTTGATTTATAAACTCGTCAAGTGACTTTCAATAGTAAAATAAAATGTTGTTCTCACTAAAAGATATAGGTTTAAACAGTCGCATACACAAAGCGTGTTACTAATTTATTAATAAATTTTGAACAAATATTTCTTTGTAATCTCGTACTATTCAAATAAAAGAAAGATAGATTTAAAATTTTAAAAATGATAATTTAGTATTTTTAATTGTTCTAAGAATCATAAATCATTTAAATATTATAACTTCAATTTCTGGTTTAATAACTATTATTTGCTATAGTACTTTTTTGACAGAAAACAAAAGAGTCAAAACGCACTTTTGATGCGACGTATAGATCCATGATCTGAACTTGACCCTCTTCACGATTGGAAGAAGACCCCGCCCGCTCACTGTTGTTGATTCATCACCTGTCAATATTTTTTCTCTTCCAAATGGCGATTGGAATTGAAACTTGCTCCATGATATCCTGCATCCCACTGTAATCTCTTACTTCATAGCATTACTCCACCGAGCGCTCTTAGTAGTGAGGACAGATACTTTTGGCATGGGGTTCAAAGGCGTTTCACTGTCAAGAGTGGTTACCTTCAAGTGACTAAGGATGCTTTAAACACACCTGACCTAAGATGAAAATCCATCTGGCAGCTTGCTCTTCCTAAACGGGTGCCTTGTTTCCTTTCGGTGGCTATATGGGATAGAATATTATCCAATGTAAACAAATGCAGGCGAGGCATCAGTCATGACCCTTCATGCTCAATGTGTGGTGCCATGGAAGAATCATCATTGTATATTCTTAGCGATTGTCCAACTATGAATTCTATTTGGCGTGATTTTCTTCAAGATTTAAGCTGTCCGGATTTCTTCAGCATGTCTATAAATGATTTGATGCACGCTAATCTTAAAATCCAGTCGGTTCTTCCAAAGCTCGGTATTCCTTGGAACTCCTTTGGCATACTCGGGAACCAAGGAATGATAAAATCTTCAATGGTTTACAAAGCTCCGCACGTTGGATTGAAATTCATAATTATGGTGAACATATTTATAATGCATATTATTATATTGTTATCATAAAATATGACATAAAATAAGTTATCAATTATGTTATAAAGTCATAAGATATTAAAAATGTCATAAAAATAAAATTGTAGATACTATTAAAATTATATTTATAATTCAATGAGGGGCAGAGTTATAAATACAAAAAATAATTGATTCTTATATCAACTATATAAAGGGGTTATGGTCCCAAAAAATAGATAATCTCGTATTCATTTCTTATCCCGTCAAAAAGTTTATACTTAAGGGAATTTTATCTTCTTGGAATATCACAACCAAATAAAGATTCAATGATTTTAACCTATTAATCAATTCAGATACACTTCCGCATCTAGCATTTTATTCTTGATGGTTTGACATTATTAGATTCTGATTAGTTTTTCATATTTATTAAGGTTTGGTTCTAACGCATCAAGTTCTCTTCTCCACCGAAGTTTTATCTCTTACAAGGTTGTCGACGATGCCTTCATAGTCTTCTGCTGCATCGTCCAATAAGAGTCGCGAGATAATCCAATGGCATCCTCCCCCTAGAGATTGAATTTGTTTTAACATCGATGGAGCAGTGAATAACGCAGGGAATGCCTCTGCAGACGAAGTTCTCGTGATCATGAAGGTAATTTTCTCATGGGGCTTAGAAAGAGGCTTGGTTCATCATCTGTTCTCCAAGCAGAGCTTTGGGGAGAGCTCGAAGGGTTAAAGCTGGCATAGGGTAACAGCTTTGAGAAAGTTCATCTCCAAATCAATAACCCGGATGCTTCTCTTTTGATTCAAGACGTTAACACAAATAGTCCTTATTCTTTGGTGTGGGACATTGCTGCTCTCCTTAATAAAGCTTGGCTCGTCGACATAAAGCTTATACATAACAAGACGAGCATGACTGCGGACTACATTGCAAAACTGGAAGGCGATGCCACTGGTAGATTAAATATCTTTGATTCTACCCCAGGTTCCCTTAGTGCTTTACTTTGTCGGGATATCCAAGCTCTCCCCGTGTCTGTCCTGGACATGCCTAACGCTTTTTTTAGGCTGAATTCAATTTAAAAAGAAAAGTCTAAAAGTTGAAGAAAGTAAAATGCTTTTCTTCGCTTGATTGTTGGAAGAGATTTCAAAGCTAATATTTCTTTCATTTTAGAAAATAGAAATATTTTTTATTTTTAAATAATGAATATTAAAAATATTTTTAATTAAAATTTTAAAATGATTTATTTGAAAAATGATTCATTTGAAAAATGATTCTGCATGCATGCAGGAATTAGACAACAATTAAAACCCCCCCCCACTTTTTTTTCTAATAAAATTGAACAAACTGAAACAATGGTTTTAACTAATATATGTAAAAAATGAAAAACTTTATTCCTTTCTCAAGTCCCACATCTATGACCAAAGTTCAAATCCAATATCAATATATATATATATATATAAGGGGAGAATTTATTCAAACCTCATAAAATATTTTAGTTTTACATGGTTTTAGGATGGTAAACGTAAATTACTAATCAATGTATGATTAATCTGATTTAATGTTTTAGATTAATCCATGTATCATTACTCTAAATTAAATTTGAGGATAGATGCGAAACCCCTAATAATTTTGTCATTCTTTCCAAATTTCAAACCCGGTCAGCTCAGCTAAGCCCTTTGAACATGTGTATCTAGTATGTAGGCTATTCATTGTCAAGCAAGGTTTCAGATAAGAAAAAAGAATGTTCTCAAACATCATTGTTACACTTAACCAACGGTCTAAGATTGTCTTCAAACAATGGTCCTAGCAAAGCAAAGCAAATCAGCAAAATTAATAGACCCTCCTCGCATTAAGAAAAATATAAAGACATCTCATCATTTAACCATTCTGCGAGTAATCGGAGCTCAGAGGTTGGTGACAAAATGCTGCCTGCATTGCAAAGATGAGATGGAGTGAATGAATGAATGTTAAAAATAACTTAAACAAAATATCAGCCAAGGCCAAGCACAGGGTAGAAACACCAACAAACATACAAATGGAATTTCTTATAACATGCCAACTAATTGGGAAAGTGAAGCAAATCACAACATAGGAACACACTGAGAAAGGCAGTACAACGCCTGTAATAACAAGTCTGGCATAATATAAAAAAATAAGAAACTGCATCATACCTGAGTTACAGCATGTCTAAAGTGATCATACCGATGAAAATACATCATTGTAGCACTTGGCCACTGCATGTAAGCACCATCTCCAGAAGTTGGATTCAATCCCACGTCACAAAAAGGGCTTACAGCTGGCGTTGCAGGGACGCAATAACTGGGGAGAGGTTGAGTACTTGCAATCTGACCGAACTGAGGAAAAGCAGAATCATACTGCATGAATGGATGTGGTATCTTCTGCATATTGTAAGGAGCCAAGCCAAAGCTCTGGTTACGAGGAATGCTTCCAACATATCTGCAATGGTTCAGAGTAATTTAGTTTAAAATTAAGAAAACAATTCATATAAAGGACTAAATTATTCTCATTTTCCACGCCACCATTTTTCATTCTTCGTTCCTAAAGCATCATGTAATTATTGTTATGAATGATCATAATAAGTATTTACACCTTATCAACATTGTTCCTTATGAGAAAATGGGGATAAGCGTTATTACAAATTTTTGGTCAATTAAAGAAATTGAAGAAACATTAGATGAGGCAACAATCTCTCACCTTTGATAATTCCGATCATAATCTGGATCATATTGATCCTTCTCTCTATCCCTGAAAATGGCTACCCGTGATGTACCATCCCGAGCAGAAATATTTTTCTCTGGATCAACCACGTAGCCTCTGTAGTTTTCACACGCATCTCGGATAGGAGACTCATTTTTTGCATCAATAGAAATCACAGAAGAATCATCAGAATCGGGACTGCTAGGGCTACTGAAAATGCGTGCTCGTGCCCTGTCATATTCTTCCTTCCTCTCCTCCACACTCCGCACAGGAGATCTTTTGATACCAATTTGATTTGCTTCATTGACAGATCCATTATTTGGCCTCGGCTTAATAGCAATTTTAATCTGCTCACTTTTATCGTTTTCTGAGTGATTCGCCGGAATTTCAGACAATCGGACAGCAGGGCATCTGAATTCAACTGCTCTCTTCGCCACAATTCTGCTTCCCACGCCACCTAAACTGCTATCATGAACCATAGTTATCAGCCCATAGTGTTGAGCAACACGATGTGCAGCAAGCCGAAGGTAGGATGTGGGAAAATGTTGGAATTCGAATTGTTGCTGGTCAGAATGTTGTAAAAACTTCTGGATATCAAGTTCCATCCGCAAAACTAAATCCCAGGAAACCACAAAAGAGAGATAATCAATCTACTGTGAGAAAAAGGCCAACTCAATAAAGATTTAAAAAGATATTAAACACCACTGGAAAGAAGAAGTATATTGAATAAAACTCAAACAAACCATACAAACATGCAAAAGGAAATATTCTTTTTTCCATTTTTTACATTCCGTGTGTGTTTATATATATAGTTATGGCAGATTTGGAAGAAATGAAGGCACAATGTTAAAATATAAATGAACCCCTTGGTCCAATTAAAATCAACTCATTTATTCAGTGGTAAGTGTAAGTAGTGTTTAAGTTAAACTTTGAATCCTAACTTATCTCTAAAACTATCTCCTAATTTGTAGAAAATGACTCTTATCTTATTTAGGTCTAATTCATGTGTATAAAAATCCTATGTATCCTCTTGTGTAAGATGCAATTTTTCTTTGAATAAAAGACCTTAATTCTTTCACCGGAAAACTCTATTTCACATGGTATCAGTCGCTTGCGTCGATCCAAGTTTTGCTCCCGCCGCCGTTTAAACGAATTCCGACCAACAGTGTGCTTTCCTTGCACTGCTCTCTCAACCATACAAATCCCATCATCCCCCACCCGCTCCATTGTAAAATACCCATCGCAAAACCGTCCTCCTTGCTGCACCACCGCAGCGTTCTCTTCTCGTAGTGCCACTCTTCATGCAGTGCCGCTTCTGTCACAGCGTTGCTCTCCTCGTCGTACTGCTCTCGTCGCGTCGCCGGCCCAACACTCCCAATCGGCTTGCCACTTCATCGTGGTGTCCCCTTTACAACGTTGTTCTCATCACAACGACATCCCTTCCCATTCCGCTATTTGGTAATTGTTCGGCCAACCCGATCTCCTCGTCACACAACCCTCAATTCCTTTTTCCCAACAGTTATGGCATATCCTTCTTCATCCCACCTGCCATCCGATGCTGAAAACTCCATTATCCAACCATCTCCTTCTAACTCGATTTCCTTGTCCATTACTTGTCATCGTCTAAATGGTGAGAATTACATTGCCTGGTCTCAATCCATGCGTCTGTTCATCACCAGTCGCAGGAAACATCAATATCTCTCTGATAATATGTCGATCCCTGATCCCCAATACGACACTTGGCTCACCGAGAACACCACAATTATGTCCTGGCTCCTCAACTCTATGCTGCTTGACATTAGCGCAAACTTCATGCTCTACACCACTGCCTCGGAAATCTAGTACGCTGCCAGGGAGACATACCCCAATCAGGAAAAGTCTTCTGCTCTATTTGCCATTGAATGTCGGATCAACGACTTGAAGGATGGCAATCTAACTGTTATGGAATACTTCACTCAGCTGTCTCGCTTATGGCAGTAAATTGATTTGTTTGAGTCTCTCGCTTGGCAAACCGATGCAGATGCAAAACTCTACAAAGAGCTGCTTGAAAAACGACGTATTTTTCAATTCCTGTTGGGGTTGTCCGTCTCTCTTGATGATATCCGTGGCCGGATTTTGGGCATCATGCCTCTTCTGTCTCTTCGCAAGGTGTTCTTTGAAGTTCGTTGCGAAGAAAGCCGCCGCTCTCTGATGTTTCCGCCATTCGTTGAAAGTTCTACCTTGAATACCATTTCATCCAATGACACCCGTGTCAAGAAAGACCGTCCCTGGTGCGATCACTACCGGAAACCTGGTCATATTCGTGATAAATTTTAGAAGCTCCATGGTCGTCCGGCCAACTGGACTCCATCAAAATCCTCCTTGCGTCCATCCTTTGGTAACTCTGCTGTAACGACATTGGAATGTGGTTCCTTTTCTCGTCAACAGCTGGACGATCTACGGTAGATATTTGGTCATTTACACATTCCTCCTGCTGCTAAGACCATGTCTGCCTGCACTGTTAGTGAAGGTAGTTCTCCTTTTGCCTTCTTATCCCCTTCACCCGGATGTGTCTCTTGGATTGTTGATTCCGGAGCAAGTGATCATATGACGGGCAACTTTAGTTTATTTTCAACGTTTCACAACGATGGTGTCTAATGCAGTGTTTGTACTGCTGATGGCTCCCTATAACCGGTTAAGGGCAGTGGCTCGGTTCGCATTAATAGCCGCATTCTTCTATCTAATGTTCTATTTGTTCTAAGTTTGACTTGCAATATTCTTTCGATTAGCAAATTATCTACCGATTTGGGTTGTACTTCTCATTTTACTCGTGATTATTGTGAATTTCAGGATTTGACCTCGGGGATGGTGATTGGCAATGCTAGGCGTCGTGGTGGACTCTACATCCTTGAAGCCCCTCCTTCTGCTCTTGTTCCCAACAACTCACCTGCACCATTTATCTCTTCCTTTGTTCCAGTTTCTCCTACAGATGCAGCTGCCGACATTGTGTTATGACATTTTAGGTTAGGTCAACCAAGTTTTCCTTATCTTGTAAAATTGTTTCCCAAATTATTTATTAATAAAAATCCCGCATCATTTCCTTGTGACATTTGGTCTCTTGCAAAACACATTCGTAGCTCTTATCCTTCTTCTCCCACTCGTTCACCTAAACCTTTTTCCTTGATTCATAGTGACATTTGGGGACCTTCATGGGTTACAAGTTTACATGGAATTTGTTGTTTTATTACTTTATTGATGACCACTCCCGTACCACTTGGACCTTTCTTATGAATGACAAGTCTGAGTCTTGTACTATCTTCAAACGCTTCCACAAAATGGTTGAAACACAGTTCCAAAGTTCCATTGCCATCCTTAAATCTGATAATGATGGGGAATACTTCTCATTCATTGGGATCTTTCTTCCAAGAAAACGGAATAGTCCACCTCACTTCATGTGTCGACACTCCACAACAAAATGGTGTCACCGAAAGAAAAATTGTCATATTCTTGAGGTAACCCGAGCACTCCTTTTTTCTTCTAATGTTCCGAAATACCTTTGGGGTGAGGTTCTCTTAATAGCTACTTTTCTAATCAAACGTTTGCCTAATAAGATTCTTGCCTTTAAGTTTCCACGGGATATTTTTTCCACTAAATTCCCTCGTTTCAAACCTTTTACCTCTTCTGTTCCTCTTCGTGTCTTTGGTTGTATTGCCTTTTTCCATGACCATAATCCTCATAAATCTAAACTTGATCCTCGAGTAATTCGATGCATCTTTGTTGGTTATTCATCCCTTCAGAAAGGTTATCATTGCTACTCTCATTCTACAAAACGGTTCTTCACTTCTATGGATATCACTTTTCGAGGGCATAAACCGTTCTTCTCAAAAACCGAAATCCAGGGGAAGAGTGAGTTTGAATTTCAATTTTTACCGATTATTATTGAATTACCCATCAGTCAATCTTCTACTGAAAAAACTATCACTCCACAACCTCTTAACACCACCACATCTGATAATGAAAACCAATCCATTAATCCCACCGACTCGCATAAAACACCCAGGTCATCTACCGATATTCTCACCTACGAAAGATGACCCAAACAAGCCCTACCTTCCACACCGCAACCAATGCATTGTCAAGAGCCAAAACCAGGTTTAAATCCACCGACAGACAGAGGAGATAGTGACCAAAGTAAGTTGGATATGGTAATTGATACTAGTGAGATATCAATTGCTCAAAGAAAGGAAGTTAGATGATGTACAACACATCCTATTAGTAAATTTGTTGCTTATGGTAAACTAATGTCTGGTTTTAAGACTTTCACAGCTCAGGTTGATCATATTCACATTCCAGAGACCATAGAGGATGCATTAAAAAGTCCTGAGAGGAAGAAGGAAGTTGAAGAAGGAATTTCAGCTCTAGAAAACAACAAAACCTAGGTCATCGTTGATCTACCTAAAAACAAGAAACCAATCGGCTATAAATGGGTCTTTACTATGAAATTCAAGGCAGATGGAAAAATTAAGAGATATAAGGCTAGACTTGTGGCAAAAGGATTCACTCAGACTCATGGAGATGACTATCAGGGGACCTTTGCTCCAGTTGCAAAACTCAACACTGTTCGAGTTCTATTGATGAACAAGGATTGGATACTTCACCAACTAGACGTAAAAAATGCATATCTCAATGGCAATCTTGAAGAAGAGGTCTATGTACAAGTTCCACCAAGAATTCATTCTGGAAATAACCGGGTATGTAACTAAATCCTTATATGGTCTAAAACAATCACATAGAGCTTGGTTTGATAGATTCACAAAGGTAATGTTACAAGACAACTACAAACAGTGTCAATCCGATACTACTCCTGATATGAAGTCAATTTTGATTGTCTACGTTGATGATATCATCATCACAGGTGATGACTTAGTAGAAATCAAAAAGTTAAGGACATTACTTGCAAAGGAGTTTGAAACCAAAGATTTGGGAACTTTAAGATATTTCCTAGGCGTGGATGTAGCAAGATCACGAGAAGGAATTGTCATAAATCAAAGAAAGTATATTCTAGACTTTTTGAAACTAGAATGACTAATTGTAAGCTCTCGGAAACTCCTATGGAAGTTAACTTAAAATTGAGTAAAGATGGAAACCCGGTAAACAAGGAACATTATCAGAGGCTAGTTGGTAAACTCATTTATCTATCTCTAACTAGACCTGACATTGCTTTTCCTGTTAGCATTGTTAGTCAATACATGAATGATCTAAGAGAATAATATCTGGAGGCAGTTAATTGAACCTTAAGATATCTAAAGATGACACCAGGCCATGGGTTGATTTTTAGAAAACATGAAGACAGAACAGTTAAAATCTTCTCAGACTCTTAACTAAACTAGATATGTTTGACAACAACTCTTTTGAACTTCAGAGTGATAACAAATCTGCAATAAGCATTGCAAAGAATCCGGTGCACCACGACAGAACAAAACATGTGGAGATCGACAAACAATTCATTGAAGAAAAAGTAAATGGCGAAATTGTGAAGCTAAACTACGTCTCTTCACAAAACCAGTTAGCCGATGTATTGACCAACGCACTTCCAAGGATTACCTTTGAAAAAATTACATCCAAGTTGGGTCTTCACAGTATTACTCCCCAGCTTGAGGGGGAGTGTAAGTAGTGTTTAAGTTAAACTTTGAATCCTATCTTATCTTTAAAACTATCTCCTAATTTTTAGAAAAGATGACTCCTATCTTATCTAGGTCTCTAATTCATGTGTATAAAAATCCTATGTATCCTCTTGTGTAAGATACAATTTTTCTTTCAATAAAAGAACTTAATTCCTTCACCGGAAAACTCTATTTGACAGTAAGGAAGTAAATATCAACAAAATACACTGAACTGCAGAATTCCATCTAGCATTTAATAGGTACACTAGCAGCAATCAAAAGTGAATCTAAAACACTCCTTATTCTTAAGCTTTTTTCCTATATTACAGATTTGTATGTAGGTTAAATCTTAGGATTAATATATTGTAATTAATGCAGTATATTACTTTATACTTGTGAATATATATCCATACGTTTGATAAATAAAATACACAAAAAAGAATTCTTCTTCTGATATTATACACTATACTTTTAGGAAATATTACTCGTAGCTTTTTCTTGTAGAATCCTATGATATATTGTAATTATTAACTATTACTCATGTTGGGCCTTATTAATATCTATGCTCCAACATGAGGTGTTACAGGTTTGTAAGCTAAATCTTAGAATTAATATATTGTAATTACTGTAGTATAATATGTTACCTTTTATAGGAGATTTATACTATATATATCGATAAGGTTCATAGAGTTTTTAACACAATTGCTTTACGACAAATTATACGCACAGCAGCTTGATTGTCACTTAGTTCTGCCTGGCTCGCAATAGTATAAATCTTGCAATTTAATTATCGATTTTGGTTTCTAGGGTTTAGGAAATATAACTAAAATGTAAAAATTTAATTATATAATGTTTTTTTGTTTGTTTATGATATTTTTGTGCATGAGTTTTATAAAAGACACTAATCATCTTATGTCTCTATAAGTATAGACATAATAAATAATGTGTTCATAGAAACATGTCAATTAAAGAAAAATCCATGTAGTTTATAATTTGGTTGGCCATAATTGAGATTTTTCCTATTTTGCTTTCTTGACATCCCAAACCATTGGTTGTAACAAGGAAAAACATACCAATAGGGAAAACATTTAAAAGAAGTGGGGTAGATTAATTATGAATACTTTGTGTACCTAGTGGATGCAAGATAGGATGTTGCTTTTTCCCATATCATAGAATGTAACAGGAATAATGCTATGAGGAATAGTCCTTAGAAGTAGGATGTAGAATAGTTGGAGGATTCTTTCTTGTGTATTTTATTTCAAAATAGGCATGGGTGTTGATCAGTATAACCCTTTCTATATGAGGCAAAACTTTAAGATCAATACTCATTGCGAAACGAGCAGAGGGGCATAATTTTTTGGCTATACTCTGTCAGTGGAAATTATGTTTGTCATGGTATTATTTGTCCCAAGGCAATTTTGTTAACAACTCACAATAAGCATGGGTATGGAAATATGATCCTCCATAAATGAGAAAAAAAAATGGCACACATTGTGTTGGGAATATATGTCCAACATTTGCACCCAAGTCCATTAAGCATAGTTCGCTTCTCCTTACCTATACAGCACATTAGTAAACCTAAATAATTAAATAATTTCTAGCAATTACCATAGATATATCAATCAAAAGATAATGACAACTGAATTGTGTCACTAGAATCATATAAATAGGTACCTACCTAAAGCTTTACAAGACAAACCCTACTTCAATCTACATTCAGCATATTTTATCTTTATCTAGAAGTAAATTATGCAAAAGGTATAGTAAAATCATTCATAGACATGCAAGATTATATGATATAACAATTGAAGTCAATAAAAAATGAGAATCTTTTTATATAAAGGCTTAATACCAAAATGAGTGCCTAAACTATTTTTAACTCATCTAGGTATCTAACGTTACAAACATTACCATTTTAGATGCCCGGGCCGTCATCGACATTAATTTCCCCCATTAATTGACACATGTCACAATCTAGTGATTTTGAAATTAATATTTTTTTAAACATATTAAAAATATTATTATATTTATTAAAAAACCCTAATTTCTCTTGAATTATAAAATAGTCCCAAAATCCCTAAAATCCCCAAATCTTAACCTTAAACCGCCGCCGATGCTCTTTCCGACCACAACCACTGCCGCCACCGTAGTCCTTGTCATCCTCCTAGTCATACGCCACCATAGTTTCCCCCGATTGACTGTTAGAATCGTGTAGGATTGCAATTTTCTTCCCAGGGTTTGCGGGGTATAAAACATTGATTCCTCGTTGATCGATCACAATTTCATAGGGGTTTTGGTCACCGGGGAGAGGGGAGGCCGGGTAGAGCTTTGTTGACGGCAAAGGACATCAGTTGGTGTGGGTTTAGGGGTTTAAATGAAGGTTTTTAAAGTTTTGGGTTTATTTCAGAATTTGTGTTTTCTTTTTAAAAAAATATATCATTTTAATTTTTTAATTTTAAAATTACCATATTATGACACGTGTCACTTAACGAGGAAATTAACACTGTTGACGGTCCAGACGATTAAAGTAGTAACGTTTATAACATTAGACACAGAGATGAGTCAAAAAATAGTTTATGCACCTACACGGGAAAAGAGGTATAGTTTGAGCACTTATTTTGGTATTAAGCCTTATATAAATTATGCTTCTTGAGCTTGGTGTACCTTATGTAATTTCCATGAATGACGACCAAATTGTTAAAATTCAAATGTCATATCTTAAAATACAAAGTTCATCGAGTTACCATTGATCATTTGGCGTTGGGAAATGTCAACAAACGCAGCATAAAACTAAAAGACACTTCAATTTACAACCCATGCTACACTTCTAGAACAATGCATATGCATGTATAAAATCTTAAGTCCCACATATAAGTCAAACAGATAGTTATATCAGACATACGTACCCAAAAACTATGTAACCTTTTTTCATAAACAAGCTCAGGAGTAGGGATTTAAATTGCAGGTCAGGAGAAATAACTATGGTCTGTTCCAAACTGGAAGGAAAAATAAATCTCCACAACAATGCAAACATTTAGTTGATACAAGACAGATAGCCTAGAGTATAGTCGATGTATATCTGGTAGATACATATGAAAGGTCAGTCAGATCACAGGTACTGTCCATGGATCAAGTAGACAATGTAAAGAAATAAAAGTTTGCGATACAACTTTGCATTAATATGGGAGGAGACCATAAAAAGAAAAATCATCCACCCAACATCAACTAAGAAGGTCACTACTATGTATTGCCCCAAAAAGTAGGCCGTCACAATCAGAATCAAAAGAAAAGGTAACAAATCTAGCTTGTTTCTTAACCCCCACCCCCAATTTCTCAACAGCCAATTAAAAACCATTGAAAAGAAAATTCAGATCTCATAAATAATCTTTTCTATTCACAAAAGCCCTAACCCTAATTGAACAAATTATAAACACTAAACTCACATAAAGGGGGAAAGCATGTTCAGAAAAGCAGTTATACAGAGATCCAATAGAAAAGCAAAAGAAAAATTACTGGTAAGACGATGACGAGGATTTTGAAGAGCCTCGACCAGGAACGGATCAACGGAAGACTCTTTGTCGTCAAGAGCTGCGTCGGAGGTAGATATGGTGGTAGTGGAAGTCAAATCCATGGTGAAAAATAATTTTTCCGTTTATCTACTCGTGGGTCACAAACCTTTTCTTTCTCTCCTCTCTCTTTTTTTTTTTTGGATATGCCGTTCTTCTTGAAGACGAAATAATCGATCAATCAAGAAGAAGAGATTTGCCTAGAGAGTGGAGAGATAGAGAGGGGATGCGTCGTACTTCTCTCTCTCCCCAAAGTATAAAGGATGAGACTCAGATATATTTTCAGCGTTTATACCCTATCCGGTTTCCAATCCCAAGTCCAGCGCTTGCAAATTGACCATTACACTGCACAATTTTATCATCTTATTTTCTTATAAAAATGCTTAAAACCAAAATAAGTGTACCAACTATCTCAATTTAAACTATTTTTTATTCTTTTAGGTGGTTGATATTACAAATATTAATATCTTAAGTATTTTAACTATTAACGGCGTTAATTGTTCTCGTTAAGTGACATATATTACAATCTAGTGATTTAAAAAAAATTAATTAAAATTAAAAAATTAAAATTATATACTTTTTAAAGAAAAACATAAACATTTTAAAATTACCCAAAACTTTAAATATTTTCATTTTAACCCCTAAACCCATGCCGACCTTCATCCTTTATCGTCTATGAAACTCCATCCAATCTCACCTCCCCTGACGACCAAAAACCCCCATAAAATTGTAACCAATCAACGGTCGATCGAGAGCGAATCGAAGTTTTATATTATGTAAACCCTAGGATAAAATCATGATTCCAAGCGATCTCGACGACCAATCGACTGCAACTACGACGTCTATTGGCTAGGAGGATGGCAGAGACTATGTTGGCAGCAGTGGTCGTGGCTAAAAGGACGGCGGCGGGTTAAGGATATGATTTAGGGATTTTGGTGTTTTTCTATAATTTAAAAAAATCAAGGTTTTTTTATAAATATAAAAATTTTTTTAAAAAAAATTAAAATCACCAAATTGTGAAATATGTTACTTAACAGGAAATTAACACCATTGACGAATGATAACATTTATAACATTAGGCACTTGGATGGGTCAAAAAATAGTTTAGGCACCTATTTGGGAATTGAGGTATAATTTAGACACTTATTTTGATATTAAGCCTTATAAAAAAGACTTTAATACGAGTGTAAATATATATTATATTTTAATTTATTATGTTACATTTAATAATTTATATATATGTAAATTATATCCAACGATGGTTAAATAATCAAGGTTTAAGGGTTAGAGTTGCCCTTTAGTAGATCAAATTAATCAATTTTGTCTCTATCGCATTTTCGCATCAATTTGTTCTTTAAAGTTGTTTAATTGCTTCATTTTATACCGTTAATTGTTTTGACTAACAAAATTGTTAAGTTATGTTGAAGTGGACGCCAACTGTTTCCAAGTCAAAAGACTGAAGTTGTGATTTTTCTTCTTTTTCTTTTTCAGAGGATTGAAGTTGTGATTTCTCCTTTTCTTTCTTCTACCACCACAAAACTATGTAGTTTTGGAAGCAAATATGTAACACAATTTTAATAATTTTTTCACTTTATTTCTTTCCCCTTCCATCCGTGCTCTTCACTCTCGGGCATGGTTGCTTCATCGGGTTCTAGGTCGCTCCACTATTCGATCACTGGTGACCACTGCGTCATTCGTCATCTTTGGTAGCCGATTAAGACCAGACTTCACCAGTTAACTAGCTTCGACCTCCTGATCATGGATCTTAAGTTCGTTTTCTCCAAATCATTGTCGTTTATTGTAGCTTTTGGAAAAACTTCTTGGCCCCTTCGGAGTAAAACACCTCCATTCGTCGTCGTTGATCGTCTGATGGTGTCAATGCCGAAAAGAATGTGACAATCGACTTCGTTATAGAGAAAAACATTTTTTTCTTTTTCTTTTTTTTTAAATATTTATGATTTTCCACTGAAATTTAGTGGGTTTTCTTGTTTTTGCAATAGTTTTAATGGGTTCAGTCTCATTTTCTTATCATTTATTACAATAATGTTAATCTTTTCGTTTCCTTTGAAATCAAAGTTTTATTCTTGATCTCTTATTGAGTTAATATTTTTAATCAAAGAGAGATATAACTAATCATGAAGAAGTATTACATCAAATTCACATTTAACCTATCATAATTTAAGAACCGTAAAAGATCATGAGGGTTTCTTTAAAGTTGATAGCGTGTATGTTCATTTCGTCAATATCCTTGGCCAAGGAATCAGCTATGGTATTGCTCTAGCGTGGAATCCATGTGATTAAGGTTGTCTATAGCTCGAACAAGGGGAAGATCATTAGTAGTTGCGTTCGGATTGTCCAAAAGGTTAATAGCTTGACGAGAATCATATTGTGTTATGAGAAACGAATTTGAGTTGAGTTTTTAACGCATATCTATTTATTTGATTATAATAAAAGTAGTTGTTGTTTTCATGTTAGTCTTTTCGTTTCCTTTGGAATCAAAGTTTCTCAATTTTCTTCAGACCGTCGACCGTCCAATGCTAGTTCACCATCGCTTGCAGTGGAAGCCACCAATATTGGATATTTTAAATATTTTAGTAAATATTATTAAATATTTTTTATAAATGCCACATCATCAGGGAGTTACGTCATCAATATTGATTGATGTTGAAACAGTTGACATCCACATCAACATAACTTAACGACTTTATTAATCAAAACGGTCAACGGTATAAACGGTGTAATTAAATAACTTTGAGAGAAAAATTGATGTAAAATACTATAGTGGCAAAATTAATAGATTTGGTTTACTACAAGGGCAACTCTGACCCTTAAGCCAATAATCAAACTCCATATATTTTGATATGATACTCTAAGTTTGTATTTAAGAAAATAAATTTAAGTTAGATCTGAAAAGTTTTATGTATGGGAAAATAAATGTTAGGTCAAAGTCAAATTTAAGATAAAAGAATGAAAATATCATAATATCTCTATACAATTATAAAATATTATTTAAACATTTATGAAAAATATAATATTATATATTATTTTGTCCTATAAATATTGTCCTTTATTGATTTTTGGGTCAATTTTTTTAACTTTGACTCTTTATTATTTAAAATTTATTATTGATAAAAATATGAAAAATATATTTTAAAACCTTCAATCAAATAGTTTTTAAATATATATTTCAAAAAATTTAATTTCTTAAAACATTTAAAATAATTATGGTCAAAGTAAAAATTATGACTTTTGAAAAAACAATAAGGTATTGTTTTAATGGGACAGATGGAGTATTGTTTAGGTCAAATCTATTTATTATCTTGTTCTTCTCCTTTCATCTTCTATTGTCTCTCCTTATATTCACCTCTTCTTCTTTTCTTTTATCTTTGTTTCCATATATTTTGACGCGATGATAAGTTTATAGTTTATTTTGGCTTTTTATTAGAAAAATACTTTTTATTAATTTATTATAACCCTCGTTCAAATTATTTGAAAAAATGACCACCCAAATGATAATGTAGTGGTACATGCACCACAAGGCTCGCATTAAAGAAGATAAATTATCTATTCAATTGATCCGCACAACTAAGCCTTGAAAATAAGACTAGAGCAACAATATTTGCGATGACTTTTTGAATGGGATTCAGGTGTGTTATCTGGTCAACATGTCTTCTAGAGATATGACCAATTGTCTCTTATCTTTCCAACGGTACTTGAAATGTATCAATCCGATATCGAGAACTCAAGATACATTCATTTTAGTGAAGATAATGCATGAAGAAATTTCTATACATGGTTAATACAATATTTTGTAATTATTATGAATTATTAATATTTTATTGATTATTTGTAATATAATTTAATATAAGATGATGCATTATTTTAAGGATTAAATTTATTATTTTATTAAGAATTAATATAGAGTTAAAATGTTATTTTTAGTTTATTATTATTTTATATGAAATTATGATAGAATCAAAATATTATATTTAATTTATTATTATTTTATTCAGTAGTTACTTAGATTCATATAACTCCTCACCCTATATAAAGGTGACTTCATTCACCATTGTAAATCAGATTTCTTTGATTAATAAAGTGTGATTCGTTCTATTAATCCCTTAAGAGTTAAGGGGTCCTCGATTTGATTCATATTCCGAACAAAAACTTTATTTCTTAAAAGGATTTAATCTTTTCTCTCTCAACGAAATATTTGAGGAAGAATATATGTTTTCGTGATTTGTATCCAAGGATAGAATTTTAGAATTCTATTTTTAATCAAAATTGAAAAATTAGATTATGAAATTATGAAACATTTTTTGAATTGGATCAATACTTCCAATTGAATAAGTACGAGGAAAAGATCCATGGATAAAGATAAAAAAGTGTATTTCTAATTGTAACTAAATCTTCAAAAAAAATATTTTTGATATGAAATATTGAAGCAATACAACGAGAGTTCGTTTTTGGAAGTGTTGATTGCCTTGTGCCGACTGCCTTGTGCCTTCGAAGCATTCTTCATCATTAAGTTCTTAAAGTTCTTCGTAAGGGAGATCTTCACACTCGATTTGCCTTCTCGTTGCGATTAGGAGACTGGTTAGAGTCGATTATCAAGTTTTCCTAGTCAATTGTGATTATGAGGGTTCGTAAGATAACTATCTATTAATCATCATCATCATCGTCAAATCATCATTATCTCCCATCACCATCAAAATCCTAATTTTGGTTAAGTATTCCTATCTTTGTTCATTCATCATAGTTTTTATCTTCTTTATCTTTTGTTTATTTTTATTTTCTTAATCTTCATTGTCTTAATCTTAATCTTATAGAAACTTTCTTCTCCATTCAAAATCCTTGATTGTGACAACAATCTAATCCATCTTATATCTCGTCATTTGATTGAGTCTAGACCTCTAGGCTTGATTCTTCAACTACGAGCAACCTTCATCACTCCTTTTCCATCCCCTATTAATTGGTATCAAATTTGGATCGATTCTTGGAGAAAATTAAGCAATCTTTCTTGTTCTTTGATGCAAAACTGCTAAGGTACCCCAATGGAGCTAGTTCGTAGCGATTAACCGTTTTCAGGTTCGTTTTCCATTATTTCAATTTTTTTCAATCCCTTATTGCTAGTTTATTTTTTATCAAAAAAAGGGGGAAACAAATAAATGAAAAAGGTAAAAAAAATGAGAAAAAGAAAAAAAAATTCCAGAAAACACAAATGAGAGAACTTGAAGCTTATTTTTTATAGGTACATTCTTAATCATAATAGTGATCTCCGATCCAAAATTCAGGTCAATAGGACATCAACATACCCTTAAAAGCATCACTCAAATTTGTTTGGCAGATTTAGTGTTCTTCATTGAAAAATTTCTAGAAAATTATATTAAAGAAATTTTGATACTAAATATTACAAGCATTATCAATGCTCAACAAGACATTTTTCAGTCTCTTACACCATTGGAAACAAACGATGCACTTGAAAGTTAAGTGATGACACTTTGTGAGAAGGGCGAGGAAACAAAAAAAAGATAAAGATAAAAAAAGCAAAAACAAAGAGGTCAATATTTACAAAAGCTAAAAGAATAATGACATACGAATGGTGAGTGAACATAACTGTGAGAAGAAAATAGTGGTTCAAAATACATATGTGAGCACAAAAGAATTGAGAGAGAACCATATTCACAAAAAACTTGCATCATTGTTCGTTTTAGTAAATCAATTGTTTCGATTTCTAACATTAACAAGGGTTTGCCTAGTATGTTTATTTTCTCTTACATGATTTTTGAAAAGTATTAGGTGATCCACCTGACGGATTACCACCTAAAAGAGGAAAACAACACCAAACCAATCTAATTTAAGTTTATTTTATACCTCATCAGACAAAAAATCTCGAAGAAACCAAAAGTTAGATTTTCTACAAAAGGCTACACCTAGAAAAACCTTAATCATTGTTCCATCTCAGTGTTGAATCACGATTTGAACCACTTCACATGTAAATATTTTGTTATCTATTTTGATGTTATTCTTATTTACTCATTTTCTTTTGACAGTGTTCAAACACTTGAAGTATGACAACACAACATACTTTTAGCGAAGGTTATCATCCATAATAACCATAAATTATTGTGTTTATAGACTATTTGAAGTATAATAGAATATATGTACCACTAAATTTTTAAAAATCATCGTTTGGGTTATTCTCTTACTAGATTATAGATTATGTTTATGTCGAGGGAGTACCTTCGTCGAAGGACTTGAAACACTCTTATTTAGAGTATAGTATATTGATTAATTTTAGTGTAAATATATATTAATAAAGCTTTACTATTCTTTTGATGTATAAACTCTATTATTATTATTATTATTATTATTATTATTATTATTATAACTCTTTATGGAGCTTCAATTTTGTATAATTATTTTAATATATATGCTTGTGATTTTATTTATACATAAATGATTTGAGATGCAATTTTGATAAATATGATCTTTAAATTTAAATATTTATTCGCTTCGATGATTTAATGTGGTATTTTCGATCCTCCAATGCATTTGTATTGAATTTAGGGTGTTATAGTTTATGCTACTCAAATATAATACAAAATTCAACTCTGTCGATAGTGTTTTTTACTGCATTTTTATTGTATCAATAAAAATCTAATTGTCTTTTTTCTTCTAAATACTCTTATCAATTATCATCCTCTTGAATTAATTTCTTATGATGTTTAGAACAATGAATAAGTTTCATATGATGGGTATACATATTATATATTTTTTATTATTTAATCAAATTTGTCTAATTGTACCCACTAAAAAATAAAACTAGTGTTACTATTATATTTTCTCAATTTAAAAGCCTTAAAGATACTTCAACTAAATTATAATATCCTTGTTCTCTAATAACGAGAGAATTTATCGAACTTCTTCCTAGCTTGGAACTTAGATGGCATATATCAGTACACCTACCATCCTTATACCTTTGAGCACAATAAGACGTCACAATTAAATGTCTTTATCATTATATTGTTGACACTGAATTTTTTAATTACAATTTACTTCTCTCTCTATATTATTGGCCTAACAACTTTCAAAATGGTGTTTGCCCGACTAATTATATGCATAAACCTTTGCTTAATAATATGTTATGCTTATTAAAAGAAACAGAACTATCACATATTACGACTGCTTGGATGTTTTTGTTTCCTTTGGTTACGCCTCTATACGAGTCACAAACTTTAACTTTGTTATGTCCCATGTGTTTTTCTAAGTACTCTATCACTTAATCAACCTATAATTTAGTTTTATTGGATAAACTTCATTGGTTCCTTTAATAGCTATAAAACTCGATTGGTAGCAAAGGGTTACATTTAGGAGCCTGGTCAAGACTACTTTGAGACAAAGAATTTTGTTATGAAACCAATTGTGATGTATATTTTTTTAACTCTTTATTTATATCATGGAGAGCATGTTAGACAACTTCACATTAACAACATCTTCCTTAATGGCATGTTGTGTGAATTGATTTTTTTTGGAGAAACATATATAAATCCTAATAATCCTTTCATATATGTTGCCTTTGTAAAGTTATTTGTAACACACTAAATCCTTTTGGGCCTAAAGTGTCACATTGGGATGTCGAGACAACCCTTGATTTTCAAAATTGTTTATTCACATTTCAAAACAAAATACATGGGTATCAAAATAAACACACTCGACAATTATAAAACATTTTATAAATCAGAACTCAGTGACACATAACTAAAACCAAAATAATAAAATTATGAGTTATAAGTCTAAATACAATAATAGGGGTCCTATGAATATGCATGCCCACTAAATCTATAGTAAAATTCTCTAAAGGAGATACTGGAAGTCCTACTGCGATGGTGCTCCACGATCGACTCTAGTTACTAACCCACGAATGAAAAACATTTGAACGCTGAGCTTACAAAGCACATCAATATAATCGATAATCTAGAGCAACATTATGAGTTTCATAAACATAAGCATGCTAAAGACATGATACTAAGCAGTAGGTACATGAATGATCTTAATCAACTGCTACCTAGTTAAGGTTCAACTATTCTTAATTGAGGTAGGAGTCTCATGCTTCCCTTAATCCTCTACTAAGGGCCTCACCATGAGGACACCTCTAAAGGGTCTCTAACCCTAATGACTATAACTACTACGCATTGTCTAAATGTGACACTAACACTCCTATGCATTATATGAATGCAACACTGACTCTGATAAGCATTATTTGAATGCAACATTGTTAGTATCTGGTCTCACATAGCCATTAGACATTAATTAACAAAGGGAACCCAATGTCACATAACATCGGTAAAATTCCCACTAAGCTACTAAATGATCTCCTAGTCTCACATAGTCATTAGGTAGATCATGAAGGGGGAACCCAATCATCATATAGCAATCGATACAATTCCTGCTCAACTAAAGCATTGGCTCAGTCTCACATAGTCGTCAAGCTAAGTTCTATGGATGTCTGATGTACTAAACTGATGCAATTATACATACATAACTGAGGACCCTAAGGCAACATAAGGTTGCAATGCCTCACTGGGGAAACTAAGGTAGCTTGACTACACTCTATGTAACCCCCCAAGTCTGACAAAGGGGAATAGGTCAAATCTAGATAGCTCAATTGAGATAATTTCCTTTGAGTAAACCATGTTCAGTTTAAAACGTAAAAATCATCATTTATCTTAGAAAAATTTTCTTTCAATTTCAAACATCAATAATTTATTAAAAATATTCATCGAAAGGAAATCCAACATAAAGGATAAATATTTAAAAAACGCATAAAATGTCCAAAAATGGTTATAATGTTTAAAGTCTTGAACTACATAAATATTAATAAAACCAAAAATACGAATAAAAATCTAAAATAGAACATTTAAATAAAATCTCATACCGATTATAATAATTTTATCTGAAAGATGAAACAACACTCCGAGTACCGGGTCGCCTAAATACGAATATCCGAAAAGTGAAACTGTTGAACTATGTTTTAATATAACAGTTTATGACAAAATATTTTTGGACTTGAATTGATTTTATTCAAAGTTTTCAAAGTTTTCAAAAATAATTCAAAGTCCATTTAATTTGGAATTAAGCAAAAAAAAATTATAATAGTACTGTACTGTATGAATAGTATTGATATTGTATTAATAGTACCGATACTGTGTGAACAGTGGTATCGATACCATGAACAGTACCGATGCTAAAAAATTCCAGAATGCAA